AGGGAGAGCCGGGAGCCTGATGCAGGGCTCGATCCCAGGACCCTGGGATCCTGACCTGAGTCGAAGGCAGACGCTTAACCAACTGAGCCACCCCGGTGCCACATTTGTCTGTGTTTTTAAACTTTGGGGCTGACCCACAAGCAGTGATGAGAAAGTGGAGGGAAAGTTGCATCATGCACGAATTGCACAGAGATCTTACGTACCACGTGACAGAATCTTCAGAGTCCTGTTGTCTCTGCCGTCCCATGGGCTAGTTAGTGCTAGACTACCCTTCACCTCAACATTTGACTTCAGAATTTAAAGATTTTATTTTTAGCCTGTAGAATACATGTATGTTTTCCCTTGAAAATATTTTCCTTTTTCACTTTCAAAACTGGAGTCAACTTTATGAGAAACCTCCCCTTGGGGGCTGCTTCATGCTGGGATGTGCCCTGGGAGGGCTTGCAAGCTGTTAGCAGGTGAGTCTGGGAACACGTCCCAAGGTGCAGGAGTGTTCACAGCTTTGGGGGGAAATCAATCCATTCCTTCAATATATGTAGATCCAGTGAGCTGCAGGCTTCAGTAGTATCAGTCAAATAGTTTTTTTTTAAAGAGACACCCAGGGGTTCCTGGGTGGCTCAGTCAGTTAAGCGTCTGCCTTCAGCTCAGGTCATGATCTCAGGATCCTGGGATCGAGCCCCGAGTCAGGCTCTCTGCTCAGTGAGGAGTCTACTTCTCCCTTTGCCCCTCCCCCTGCTCATGCTTGCTCTCTCGAATAAGTAAATAAAATCTTTTTTAAAACATAAAGAGACACCCAAACTCTCAACAGTGATGAGTTATAAAAACTACCATCAAATCCTCAAGTTACTAAGGACTGCAGCCTTGCTTCCCACCTGTGTCTCCCTGGGGATTGTGAATTCCATAGAGTTCTTCTCTGACAGCCAAGAACTGCTTCTATAATTCTAGAAACCTTTCCAGGAGCCATTCATTCCCCACCCCCCGCCCCCCGCCCCGGTATACCATCTGTCTCAGATGATTTAAAACCTAGAAACCAGCTAGTAAATAAATGTCATCCTCTTGCAGTACTTGTAAGTACCGTGCTCTTGGTGAGCACCTTATCATTTTAACATGAGAAATGCTATTTTAAGTAGGATATCATAGACCTGAATTGAAGAGGTACCACCTATAAAATATCATTGAGCAATATCACTGTATTGCCATAAAACTCAATGGGGAATAGTGATTAACTAAACTGGATCTCAGGATGAAGATGCTGTGCAGAACTTGGCCACAAAATTTTCATCCCCAAAGCATCTCAACAGAAAGACCCACTCGTGAAGAAAGGGTCCTCTGGATGGAAAACACTTCAGAAGTGACAACCCGTGGATGCCCGAGCCATGGGCTCTGACCAGTACAGGGGCTAAAGGGGAGGAGAATCTGGACTGGCACTCGTCCCAGGGGCCAGTCATACTCCTAACAGCGCCTCCATCCAAGAACAGGACGGCCAGGAAGAGAGAGAGGGCAAAGGCAAAGCTGGAGCAAGAGAGGGACTCAGGGTCTCCAATGCATAGGCACAGAAAGAGGCCCTGAACCACCCTCCTTCATCCCATCTCCAGCACCCCCTCAAGCAATCTGTAGGGTGACAGGGGAGACACAACAGCAATGAAATTGGAAACTGGGTATTTACGGGTTGGTCTTGCTCAGAATGAAGAACGCGCTCCCTTCAGGAATGGGGGCGATTTTCTCCTTCATGTTCAACTCTGAGATTCTGCGAGGACGGGGGCCAGCAGGAACCTCAGGTTCATCCTCCTCCTCCTCCTCTTCCTCTTCCCCTACTTTAAATGAGACACCTTTTTTATAGGCATGAAATAACAATCGCATTCTGGTTTGAATTATTATTCACAATTTCACATGGAGAGTAAACTCTCACATCTATCAGCTTACGTTAATCAAAACCCTTCCGAATATGGACTGAGTGAGTGTGGGGGGCCGAGAAGTGTGCCTGTCTGTGAGTGTGTGTGGTTCTGGGAAGGAGGTTCCCAGCGGTTCCAAATCTGACACACGCAGAAGGTATCAGTGGTGGGATTCTCACTGCCATACTCCCAGCACCCAGCTGTTTCCCCAGTAGCCTTGCTCAGCTTCAGCCTGAAAAACTGTGTGTGAGACTTCAAGCCAAACATGATCATCCCCCACCCCCACAGTCCCTGCTACATCAGCAATAAAAGCACCAGCAAATGTGAAAGGGTCAGGTGAGCAGTAATAACAGTAGGAATGGCTCATTGCCTCCTAAAGAGATTTCCCAGAAGAAGAGGGGCTTGCCTGGATCCACTCACACTTTCTCTCCCCACCACCTGGAATTTGGGTTACGTAAGCTACCTGGGTGACCAAGAACAAAGAGCAGGGCTAACTGCTCCACGAGGGGACCAGACCCGTGGCCTCGGCAGCCTCACCACCCACCATCACGCCAGCTGGGCTGGCCGGCCACAGACTGAGCCCCTGATCACTGTGTGGTAGCAAAGCCACATCACCCATGAACTGAGAGCCTGTCACTGGCCTCGGCCACCATACCTGGCACATCACAAGGTGGGTAGGGGTCCTTGTCTTCATCCTCTTCTCGATAGTCATCAATTGTAACCTAGGATGACAGAGAGGTCTTGGGAGGAGGGGAGACTCTGACTTCAATGCACTGCAGAGGACCCAAGTGAAGAATCAGCCCTGCCATTCAGCACACAGAGAGAAGCTCTCTCCAAAATGCACATTGCATGTAAGTGCATGCATGCATAGGGACAGGTATCCCCAGTGATGATTCTGCTTCAGACATAGCTCTGAGGGCAGATGAGGAGAAAACGAGTAGAACCTCTACCCAGCCATGGTTAGCCAGCACCATCCACGCCCCTCTCTACCCAACACTGTCCCATACACTGTATGCTAACTGCATGGCAGACTGCTGTCTCCCTGCTAGGATGCGAGTTCCATGCACGCAGGGACCTCGTCGGTCTTCTTCATTGCCGAGCTCCAGTATCTGCCACACGATAACCACTCAATAAGTATTTACTGACTTAGGGAACCAAACAAATGAATGAAAAATCCAGAGCTGTCACAAGTGGGATGACGTTTGACGGTATAGCCCTGAGCACCCAGATCCCCAATCCCAAGATTCCTTCTGGAGGCACATTTCTATTAACAATCCTCAATTTTAACCCCCCACTGAGAAGATACTAACAGGCCAGGTCTGATGACACAATTCCAATAAAGAAACAATAAGTGGTCCCCCAAGTATTTATCATGCTGGTTATTTGGTGAAACATTGGTTGATCACCAGCTAGCTGCCTAAATTCACCCAGAATCCCCCTGGGAAGCCAGTGTCTACAATGGTGTGCCACACTCTCACACCAAAATATCACACAGGCTACTTCTCGCAGTGTAAATGGTACATTTGTGACGATATCAACAGATTCATTTTGAAACAGAAAGGGGAGAAGTGTTTCAGGGCATATACCTTATTGTCACTGTTGGCTATCTGGTTGACTTCTGGTTTGTTGTTCTTTTTATTCTCCAGGCTCTCTTTTCTACAGAGAAAAGAACACAAGAAACCAAATAACCATATTGCTATGTACAAAAATGCTAATCCAGACTCGGAATCCACAGTGGCCTGATGAAGGACAGAATTTAATTGGAAACAACTCTAAAAGCGAGAACATAGCACAACCCACCCTCAGAGCTTCCCGTTCACCTCAGTGCGCTGGGTTCATTACACGGATCATCTTACTAAAATTCTCATGTGAGAGCTCATTAGCATCAAACACATCATTTATTTTATGACACCACAATTAACCACGGGGATTCTTTAAGCATGGGACCATGTGACTCCTACTCTCGGCTCTGAGGGAAGGAGAGCCGAGGGCCTGGGTTCTGCCCAAGATTCCATCCTCGGGTGAAAACAGGGTTACCTGGCAATCTTTTTCCTCTCCTTCTCTTCAGCTTCCTCTTTCTGGGCAGTATTCAAACTTTCAGCATCAGCCAGATTGTCTACAGCGATGGCCAAGAAGACATTCAGTAGGATATCTAGTTTGAACATTTTAAGGGAACAACACAATTTCTAAATGCAACTACTTGTGGTCGACAATGGCAATGTCACACCCCTCTGTGCTCCGGAAGGCTGGTAACAGGCGACTGTCCCCTAAGTGCTGTATTCACTTAGGAAGACCAGAAGGCTAGATAGAGCCTGCTTAAAAAACCAAACCAAACCAACAAAAACAAAAAACCCTAGAAACCTGTAGAAGACAGTCTGGAAAGAAGCAAAATTAAGATCCACTAAAAGCCATGAAAACCTATAAACTTCAACATTTCCTTTAATAGGTGTGCATACGTATGTGCTTGCACAAACACGTGTGTCTCCATACACCGAGGTATCTACTGCTATCACACACACTGCATGAAACAATCTATTATATGAGCATGGTGTTGTTATGCATTTTGCATTTTGCTTTGTGCATTTTGTTTTCTTTCTTTTAAAACACACACGTACCCATAACATATATATATATACAGGGCATGCTTTCCCAAATAGACCCTTTTAAAGGCTACACATTATTCGAGATGATGATTGCACAATGCAGTCTGAGTCTTTCTCATCTGAAATGGTCTTCAGAGTCTGCAGATACTCATTCATTCACCGCATAAACACTGATATATTGCCAGATGGTGCCCAACTGTTCTTTTGAATAGCCCCACTATAGCTGTATCTTTGACTACTGTGGTTGAATTTTATTTTTTCAAATCCTAAAAAGTGAGGTGACTGAACAAGCTATCAGGTTTTTGGCTCTTACTAGAATGTTGTATGTGTGGTTTCCTTGGATAGAAGAAAAAATAATTCCGAACAAGATTCTCAAATCTCTTGGAAGATGCCTGTTTCTTATCCACCAGCAGTTAAATACATTTTTTGAGAAGCACAGGGATCAGAGGGAAGTAAGTCAAGATGGCTCCTTCTCTGAACATGCTTGTCCTTGGCTGATGCATGGTCATCTGCGTGCAAGACTGTGGGAGCCCAAGGGACCCCGAGATGGGAGAGGTGTACCACTGTCCCCCAGGCCCTGTGCAATCTGAAATCTCAGCTGGGTAACACAAACGTAACCTAACTAAGAGACTGATGATGAAATAGCTTCCAGGGGATATCATCCTTGACTAATCTATTCAAGTCTTTAAAGATGATAGAAACATGAATGAGTTGCATTAAAACTTCCAAAAAGCCTTTGGTATGTTAGACTATGTGTTAAGCAGAGCTGTAATGAGCCCAAGGAAGCGATCTGTCTTGGGCTGGGTGATGGCTTGGTAATGCAAGCCCTCCTCTGATATGTGTGGGATAATGATGGCTCAGGTAGGGATTGGTGCAGGACTAACTGTATTGAGAATTCCTACCAGTGATCTCAATGAAGAAATAATATATCCTTCGTCTTGCAATGACACCAAACTCTTTTGAGTAGTGGAAAGCACATCCAGAGGGCGCCTGGGTGGCTCAGATGGTTAAGCGTCTGCCTTCGGCTCAGGTCACGATCCTGGAGTCCCGGGATCGAGTCCCGCATCGGGCTCCCTGCTCGGCGGGGAGTCTGCTTCTCCTCCCTCTGACCCTCCTCCCTCTCCTGCTCTCTGTCTGTCATTCTCTCTCTCTCAAATAAATAAATAAAATCTTTAAAAAAAAAAAAAAAGAAAGCACATCCAGAGTAATAAACCATAGAAAAATCTTGCAAGTTTGTAATAGACAGTTTCCAAGAGCAAACACCCATCATCTGTATTTAGAGGCATTACCCAGACCCTCCTAAATAGTGGTGTGCTTTGGAATTCACTCAAAAAGATCCAAACACCTCCAACATGCTGGGGATTGTGCTGGGTGCTAGGGGCATGACGGACCAGAGTCCCTGTTCTCATGTAGGGGGAGACAGAACATAAACTACTTAAGCATTTCAGATAGTGATACATGTATTACAAAAACCAAACCAAAACACACAACATGTAACCAGAATGAGTGTGGCCAGGGAATACTTCTCCACATACCTAAAGCCAGAAGGGTTCTGGCCTGAAGGGTTCATGGAGGAGAGCACAATAAGAAAACACTGATCATTCCTTTAACAAGCATTTACCAAGGGCCAACTATGTGCAAGATCCTCCACTATAAGCCATGAGAGATGTGAATACAAAGAAGGGATTCCTGACTCAAGAAGCTTATTGTTGAGCTGGGGGGTTGGAGAAGCACCCATTCCAAATCCAGTAGGACCTGGCCCCCCGTGCAGTAGAAGCTATAAGGATGAATCGGGTAGGAGAGTTCACCTCGGGGTAGGAGGGGTGTTGGAGCTGCCTGAGGGACTAGTGGGGTTTCTGTGTATTGTCCTTAGAAGTTTGTGCTGGGGCTTCTGCACAGAGGACAACTCACTAAAGAACAAGGGGAAGACAGCTGAAGGAATCTGGGGCTTCTTAGAAGAATCCAGGTAGGATTCTTCAAAATAAAAAAGTGAAGACCAAGAGGTGGTATTCACATATTTGTACAACTGCTCTTTCGCCAAACCCTCATGGAGGGTTCCATACGCCAGGTCTGTGCCAGTCAGGGAGGTCAGAGAGAGAGAGAGAAGACACAACGAAAAGTTACAGGGTCATAAAGGGTCTGATTGAGGGAAAGAGAGAGCCAAAGTTCCAGAAGTCTAGAATTAGGGAGGGCCTCTTGCCAGGGAAAAGGAATAAAAGGAGTCAGAAAAGAGCTCAGAGCCTAACACAGCAGTTAGTCAATGGATACTTGATCCCCAGAGATGTACAGATCAGCAAAGCCAAATCTGGTCCGGGGAGCTTATGTCAAGCCATTGACAATGGGTCCCCACTGGTTAGGAAGGGTCTCAAGAGACACAGATGAACCCTAACCTCCCAAGCATGATGGCACAGAAGACCACTCGGCTCTGCCCTAAGCCTTCCCTTGGGACCGGTACAGGAGCTGTGACGCCAAGCTGGGTGACAACAAGAACAGCCCACGCACTGTCCCATGCTCCCTTCCCCAGTTTGCTCATTCCTCAAAGGCTACTGGAACTCTGACCCCACCATGCCATCCCAGTGACAGTGAAGGGGAGCAGATATTGGGCTAACAAGGTAAGGGCATTCATCTCCCCACCCCAACGGCCGCCCCCACCACTACCACTGAAGGGAAGTTCAGACAGGGAGAAACAAAGCGAGATGATGATGACAAAGCCCCTGGTCAGCTTGAAGGATACAGTTACCACAAATGAAGAGGATGATGAAGTAGATGCAGACGATCATCCCTGAGGAGGACGGGCCGCCATAGGCCATAATGCCATCATACATCACGGCGTTCCAGTCTTCTCCTGTCAGGATCTAAGAGGCCAAAACCGCGGTGAGTCCACACGCAGCTGGACCGCAGCTCCCGACGGCCCTCCAGAACCCACCAGGGGCCGCCCAAATCTGGTTTGAGCTACCTTTTGCTGTGCTCAACAAATCCATCGGTTACCCAGTAGAGTTTTCAAAACACTGTTTTCAATTACACAAACACAGGAGTTAATTCTTCACATGGAACTAAAGCAGCACTACATATAAGACCTACCTAATCTTTGATGACACCCCAGTTCTGCACCACCCCCCCCCCCGGAGAGCATGCTGTTGGTGCATCTCTCTCCAGAACCTCTGTGCACATAAGCACACAGATACCCGCCCAGAGGAAAGAGGTAGTTGGTGTCTTCTCAGACTTACTGGACATAAAGGATGTCATACTATATGATTTTTCTGCATTTACTTTTTTTTTTCCCACTCAACAATATACTGGAGACCCCCTGTGTCAGTAAGTGCCTTCAATCCTCTCAATGGCTGCCCACTATTCTACACGGTTAATCTATACTAGAAATGGAGAATTAGACCCATGAATCTGTAGAGGCTGGGAATTCCAAATATCTCATGTAAATTTACAAACTATCCAATGAGTAGATACTAATAACTACCTGAAATTTCACATGGAATCTTCTCTACTGATGATATCTGATAACTCAATCTATCATGAGGTAAGATCAGATGGACCTAAATAGCATTTTAAAAACATACTATCTAAAAAATAATAATAATAAACAAATAAAAATAAACCATACCATCTTCCAGAGAGAGAAAGAGAGAGAGAGTGCATGTGCTTCTGTATTGTCTATCTGCCCCAGACACTTTAAAAAATAAAACTGTCATGGCTCACAACCCAACAGAAGTATGGGTGAATGATTTCAAAAGATAAAGCAGTTCCCAGGAAAGGAACTTAGTGGCTCTTAGTCACACGAGAACATTCAGGCTCACTCCTGATAAGAAATAGGCATTAAAACTACAAGATACCATTTTCACCTGTCAGACAACCATCAAACAGTTTGAACACCCACTGTGGTAAAAAGCAGTGAGGTGTCGGACAGCGTCCACACCCCATCCCTGGAGGATGGACTGCCACTACTTTGAGGAGCGTGCTGGGCAAGAGTATCAGTGTTAGAAATGGACACACACTGTTCAAAACAGCAATTCCACCTCTGGGGAATTTACCCTACAATCTACACTCACACACGTGTCCATGGTGTGTGTTCAAGGTCACCCATTGAGCCGAGGCCGGCCACAATGAAATATTCATCGGCTAGGGACTGGTTACATGAATTAGGGGACATCCACACCACAGAATTTTTGCCGAATCGAAAAGTAGGAGGCAAACTCTTATGGACCAATAAGATAGATTCTTAAGGACACTTGAAATGGTGAGAAGCTGGAAAACGGCACATAAAATGAGCTACCATCTACATCATAGGACATTCATTGGGAGGTAGGTTGGTTGGTAGGTTCACTGATTTACATCTAAGGGCAACTACATCTCAAAGAATACACAGAAACTATTCAATGGTGGTTGTTCCCCAAAGGAGAAATTGGTGGCTGGGTGGGAAGGAGACTCATTTGTTACTTTATATCCTTTTGTAAACATCTGAATTTTGTGCCACACCCAGGTGCTACCAAAAACCACCACCACCATACGGGTTTCTCTGAAAGAAAACAGAAAAAAGAATAACTAATCAGTGGCTACAAATTAAGTATAATCTAAAAAAATTAAAGTATATTTCAAAAAAGTATGGCCCCATAGCAGCGACAGTAATTCTATTCTCCTCAAAATGACCAAGTGGAAACGAATCTTACAGATCATTCCCTCTAGTCTCTTGGTTTTTTGTTTCGTTTTTGTTTTTTTTTTTTTCCACAAAGGACAGTGACTTTCCAAGGTCACAGAGCCGAGCACTGAAAGGGCCGGCAGGGGACCTCGATGTCTGCGGTCCCTCCCACCAGGCCTTCCTGCCTCCCAGGCCGGGCTCCGGAGCTCGCTGATGGCACGTGTGAAAAGCGACAAGGGCAGATGGGTCTTTAAAATTTATCTGCCACTGTCTGTTTAAGGAAGGGTTTCGGCTCACAACGTAGGAAGAGGGGGTTGAGAACACCTCCGCGTAAAGCCAGGCGGGGTGCGGAGGTCGCTGCTCTGAGTGCAGAGCCACCTGCCGAGCCACCTGCCACCATCCCTCCATCTCAGCCTCGTCGCCTGCACACAGGCTCCATGTTACATCACAGGAGGGGGAAGCAAGGGGGCAGAAGGCTGTCACAACTCTTCTAGCACCCTGATTCCTCTGACTACGCACCGGAGCATGAGGGCTTTAGAATTCACCTCCTTGCACAAACCCGTTAGATCCAGGATCACAAAACTTGCCTGCAATCAAAAATTCACAAAGAACAGGAAGAGGATTGTAGAGCCTATCTCCCAGGAACCTTGGAAACCTCACAAAATCAAACAGATGTTTTTGGCTTATTATTCTGTCCCATATCCAGTGGTCTTACGAAAACATGAAATCACGCCCCCTAGATAGCTGGAGTCAGGTGCGCAACAATCGACTTCAGTGGCGCAGGATTTGTCAGAGCATTACTGGGGCAGAGGTCACTAATCCCAGCAGAATCATCCTGTCTTCCCGAGCTGTGAAGGGACAGGATGGCGTCTCACACGGCCTCCTCACATGGGCTCACCTGGAAGACTGTCAGAAGGGCTTGAGGGAAATTGTCAAAGGTGCTCCGCTTGGTCTGCGTTTCGTCAAAATTAAACTTGCCACCAAACAGCTGCATCCCAAGCAAGGAAAAGATGATGATGAAGAGAAAAAGCAGAAGCAACAGCGAAGCGATGGACTTCATGGAGTTTAACAAGGAGGCCACTAAGTTGCTCAGGGAAGTCCAGTGCCTACAAGTCAAGATGGGGGTGTGAGCGCACAATGCGCATGGGACACAGCGGACATCACGGGGCCAGGATGCAGCTGCTCACCACCCCCCGGCCAGAAAACGCCTGCAGTGAGTTACACGCGCTCTCACCTGGTCACCTTGAAAATCCTTAAGAGGCGCACACACCGAAACACAGAGATCCCCAGGGGAGACATGATCTCCAGCTCCACCAAGATGGTCTCGGTAATTCCACCGCACACCACGAAGCAATCAAACCGGTTAAAGAGAGAGACGAAATATGCCTGGAGACCCAAGCTATACATTTTTACCAGCATCTCGCAGGTGAACAGAGCCAGGAGGACTTTGTTAGCGATATCTGGAAAGACAAAGGGTCTCATCGTGGGTGTGGCTCAGACTGGTCTTCCCTCCCCAGACCTCCCTCCCACCGGTCTCTGCTGGAAACGCCCCAACACCTTGCCCTGGTCTTCGTGATGGCCCCCATTACAGACATGTGGCACCAACGTTTATGGTCTGTGTGCCGGGTTCTAGTCCTGCGTCTATTACCACCTAGATGTGGGACTCTGGAGAAGTCCCTTGAGTTCTCTGCGCCCCAGTTTCACCAACTATAAAATGGGGAGGAGCAGGTTTACCATACAATCTCTGAGGCTTTCTAGCCCTAAAAGCCTGTGCTCCTGCATTTACACCAACGTATTATATTTTTTGTTTCAATCAGTCACAGAAAGGCCAGTCTGGTCTTGATTAGGGCACCATGAGATAAGCAGCAGTTGTCTATCAGAGTCACTTCTAACCACAGAAAACAGCACCCAGCAGGCTGGAGAGCTAGACAGAAATAGGACCTCCCCATGGATCACAACTGACCAACTCAGAACAGGCTGTGTCTGGGATGAGCTCCTGTCCCACACTCCTGGGGCCTTCCAGGTAGGGGAGAAACAACCACTTGCCAAGAATACCATACGGGAAAATAAAGCTTCCAGTGGGGGTGGGGAGAAGGGGGATGAGGTCCCTTCCAACTACAAGATTCCTTGGCCCTAGGCTGTCATAGGGTTAAGACGGAGAACACAGAGATCCCCAGGGGAGACATGATCTCCAGCTCCACCAAGATGGTCTCGGTAATTCCACCGCACACCACGAAGCCATCAAACCGGTTAAAGAGACAAAATATGCCAGAGACGAAATACGGCATCAGCTGGCCCCAGCATACCATGTGGGCTGCGCCCCCACCACTCCAGGTGCAGCCTGGGTTTGGATGGTTCCTCTGGCTTCTAGCGCCCCCGGAAATGTCCCGTCACTACACATGGATCAGCTAAGACTAAACTGCAGCTGGACAGCCTCAGGAAGCCCTAATTCGGGATCAGAACGAAAAGAACACAGTCTCTGCTCGCACCTTGAATCTGCGTCAGCCAGTCAGGCTGGTTGTAGTGCTCAGAGGAAATGGTTAAGGTGTTGAGAAACACCAGGACAATAACCAGCCAGTAAAACGTGACAGACTTCACAGCAGCCCGACATCTTCTGCGATTGAAGCGGTTCCAGCGACGCCAGCGTCGGCTGCAAGAGAAGCAAATGTGACTCCGTGAACAGTAGAAGCGGCCTCTGAATGCCCGACAGACGTCATGAGGACAGAATTTGTCTTTAGTTCTGGAGATCCAGATCAGGGGGTGCAGGAAGGAAAGATGAGAACACATGGCATAGAAATGACATTGGTCTTTAAATACTTTAAATGTGTAATCTTGACCTGATCGTGCAGTTTCCTTCCTATGGCTTTAGGCGACTCCATAATCTGCCATGCACAGTCCTCAATCCAGCTAGAAAAATCTAGATATTCATAGATTCGTCTGCAGATGCAAAACTGAGCCTGTACACATATATGCAATTTACATTCCCACCATATGGCACATGGATCTGTTCACACTGCGAGTGTAGAGAGCCGTTTGGCTTCTCATACACATCTCTTGCGGCGTCTTAATCATCATGCAGAATTTATCAGGCAGCAAAGTGCTCCAAACCCAGATTTCCTTTTACAGAAACTTTTGGTCCTTTCTTAAATCTGGGAGGTTTCTCTGGAGCCTGGCAGACTTGTCAAAGCCGAGTAGGACATGAGTCTTCATACTGAGTCATCCGGTGCCCTTTCTAACTAGTGAGGCTCAAAATATACCTTCAGGAGAAGAGCCAATATTGAATTGTGTTTTCATACAAATAAAATGAGCTGAGCCAGACAGACAAGTAGCATGTCCTCTACTGACTTTTAGTTCCGGCTTGTAATTAGGTTAAGTATTCCCTCCCTTAGCCTGTTCTCCCTGTGGGAAAAGTTCCCTGCCACAGGACGGACTGGTGAAGTGGGTCCTGGGAAAAGGCCAGCCGAGTAGTGATGCCAGCCCTGTGCAGGCTGTGGTCATGGATGGGAACGGTGGACACTTCCTCCAGGGACCTGAGTCAGAGGAATCCCCGGGCTGCGTCCTGGCTGCAGCTCTGGCTGACCCAGCTGCTTTGCTATGCTGAACACACCATAACCCAGGGACCAGGCGAAGAAAGAACTGTGCCCACTCTTCAACAAGACCTGCAACTAGAAAAGTGCACTTTGTTCTTGCTCTTGCTATGTGGTTTCCAGTGGTAATAGTGGCTGGAAACATGATGACCAGTATAGAAAAACCCCACTGAGGACACTGAAGCCTGCCCCCGAGGCTGGGTTTCTCCTGCGATGCATAATTCAGTACACACAATCAAGGTGGTCTGAAAAAGGACCAGTGTTGGGTCTATTTATGCTGCAGTAACAAGTCTCAAGTGTCTCCCAAATCTTGGAAGCCTCACTGTCCCATCTCCTGAAGGCCTGCAGCACTTCCCATCCTGCCCCTCACTTGGGGCTCCAGACACTGGGTCTACACAGGTGAAGAAGACGCACCGTCCTATAGCCTCTGATCTTGAAAAGCATGCAAGGTTGGGGCAAATAATTATCCATCCCCACTCAGTGGTGTACTCAGCATCCTGGGTACAGGAACAAAAAGACAGGAGCAGCAAATGCTCTTTGCAAGAGTCAGGAAAGGCCTCCCTGAAAAGCTGAGATTTGGGCTGGCTCTGGTTAAGAGTAAGAGTTCACCAGGGGCAGGCAGGAGGGCACTCCACCCAGAAGGGACTGCATGGCCAAGGGGACTGAGGTGGGAAGAAACAGAGCCTGGTGAAAACGGACAGCAGTCCAGTAGAGCCACAGAGTGGGGAGTGTGGGAGGGGTGCCAAAAGATCAGGCCAGAATGTGAGCCGGGGGCCAAATGATGAAGGAAGGTATATGCCCTCTGGCAATAGGGAGTCAGGGAAGGGCTTCCAATTGTTTTTAAAGTCAGGTTTATTGAGATACAATCGACATATGATAATTATTAATATTTAGGTATAGGGTTTGTAACCACCACCACAATCAAGAGGTAGAATATTTCCATCACTCAAAGAACTTCCCTCATAGCTCTTTGTAATAGGTAACCCACCCTCCTCACCTCAGCCCCTGACAGCTACTGATCTGCTTTTTGTCCCTATCGCTTTGTTTTATCCAGGATGTCCTATAAAGAGAATCATACAATATAGAGCTTTCTGAGACTGGCTTCTTTCACTTAGCAAAAATACTTTCCAGACTCATTTGCGTTGTATCTACCAGCAGTTTTTTCCTTATTGCTGAGCATTATTCCAACATATGCATGAACTACAACTTGTCTACCAATTCACCATCTTATGGACATTGGATTTACTTACGGTTTTCAGCAATTGTATACAAAGCTGCTATAAACTCCTATATAAAAATTGCTCATGCAGGCATATACCGTCATTTTATATGAATACCTCAGAAGGGGAGTTGCTGGATCATAGGGTAAATATATGTTTAACTTTCCAAGAAACCACCAATTTGTTTTTAAAATGGCCATGCCATGCACCATGCAGGAACACATGGGAATTCCCACTGATCTGCATCCTTATCAGAACTTGGTATTGTCAGATTTTAAAATTTGATCCGCAGGTATAAAAAATGTTCTAAAAGGTGTGCAGTGGTGTCTCATTGTGATTCCAATTTGCATTTTCTTAGTGACCAATGGTCATTCTATGTGCTTCTTTGCCATCCGTAGCTTTTTTGGTGACATGCCTGTTGAAATCTATTGGCCATTTTTTTGTTGTTTTCTTATTACTCACATCATATTTACATAGTATTCTTTTTATATAGTGGATACTAGTCTCTTATATCAAATGTTTTGCAAGTATTTTTTCTTCTGGTCTGAAGCTTATCTACTCAGATGGCCAGTATTTCGGGTGTTGTATCCAAGAAGAAATCTTTGGCCAACCCAAGGTCACAAAGACTTTGTATGTTTTCTTCTAGAATGTTTACAATTTTAGGTTTTACATTTATTCCTAAGTCCATTTTAAGTTAGTTTTTATATATGGTGGTAAAATGTCATTTTTAATTGAAAAATAACATTTACATGGAAAAGTACACAAATCATAGGTATATGGTTCAATGAGCTTTTAGCAACTAAACATGTAACCTGCATCTAGAGCAAGGAACAGAACATCACTAGCACCTCAGAAGACCTCTCGAACTTTCCCCTCCATAGAAGACTTTTAAGCAGAAAAGTGACAAGAAATGTGTCTCTTTGAGAAATGACTCGGGGTGGGGGCAATATAAAGGGTGGATTAGTGACAAGAAATTGTTCATTGTTGCAGCTCATTGCTTTGTTTTGGGGCAAGATCTTCAGCACCTACTATGCTGCTCTCCAAGGCAGGTATTGAATATTGACTGGACAGACTGATCTTCGATACGAATGTCCTCGCCCATAGAGTAAAAATCAAGTCTAGAGCATCTCCATGTATAATAGAGAAGTTAGAAAGTAAAACACCAACACACAGGCTTAAGAAAAAATAGATGATACTGACCTGAGCTTGGATTTTGAGATGGCTTGGCTGAAAGAAAGACAAAAAGAATAGGATTTCTGTTAGGAAGGCTTGAGCATACGCTCCCCGTCACTTCAGCTGGGAGATCAGAAAAGCCATGCACAGAAGCCTGGGCTCAGCATCCCCAGCTCCCCCAGTGAGCCATCCGGGGTGAGAGCAGAGCAGGAGACAAGACACCCTCCAGGGCCCAGGCACGAGAAGACTCTTAGCCAGCGGCCCTGCACAGCCCTGTCAGAGGCCATGATGCCCGGGGTTTTTCTCCCCAGACCCCACTTCCCCAGACTGAAGTCAGGGGGGCCTCCCCTGCTCGCCTCTCAGCCACTCAGCAGTAGCATGTGCTGCTGCTACAGCAAAAAGAGCACTGGACTAGGAGTCCTAGCTCTGCTCTTTACTAACTGCATGGCTTCAGGCAAGCAGCACACCTTGTTGAGCCTCAGTGTTCTCATCTGTAAAATGAGGAAGACGAATCCATCCCCCTGCCTACTTCACAATGCTGTAGGGAGGGCAGAGCAAGACAAGAGAGGCAAATTCACCTCTTAAACTGCTGAGCGTTCTGCCCAGAACACATCATTTTTATGAATCACTGCCAAGAAGATCAAATTCTCTTAAAAACACCGCCTCTACTTTACAGACACAAGACCTAAGAGATACCAGCAGGAAGCAAATGAACCAAAATTGCATGGGCTCCCCAAAGCAGGCGGTACTCTGCACATTGCACATTGCTGGTCCCCGCTGGGGACCAGGTCATCGAGACAGAAGCCAACAGGGGTGAATGTGGTGGCGCCCTCCACCGTTAGGAGAGGGTGGTGCAGGGCTCCCCAAACAAGTGCCGTGAGGTCTCAGGGTCCAGCCGCCACGCAGGAGATTGGGGGAACCCGCCAGGGAAGGAAAACTGAAATATGCAGCACATTCTGTCAGCCACTCTGCCATACAAGCTCCTCGTCAAAGCACTGATGCCAACACCAGACCGGGAAGAGAATCAGGCCTGTTACCCCCACCGCCGACACCCAGAGGGCCCAGCCTTGGCCGTGCCTCTTCTTTTCCACCAGCACCTAGTGGACACAGTGGAATTGTCGGGTTACCTGGCACGCCTCGCGGCAGGCTCCGCCTCGGCAGGACGGGCTGCTCTAGGGCAAGAGGCATGTGAAACGCCGGGGGTCTGGGGGCCTGGGATGGGATGGATGGGGAGGGGGACCAAGGGGTCCAGGGTGAGCCCACCCACCCCTCGTGCATCTGAGGCTATGGCCTGGGGTGCCTGCCCCACAGGTGCTCCCCTAAGAAGACAGGAGGAGGCAGGAGGGCAAGCGGCCTCCACACTCACCAGAGACTCCCACAGCCGCCTTGGTTCTCGCCTCCGCCACTCACGTTCTCTGTGTTCACCGACTCGGTCTCGCTGGTGGGCATGCTGGCTGCGGGGAGAAGACAAGGCTTTAGCCGGCATGCTGGAGGCGCCGCATGCCCAGGAGTGGGCCGGTTGCAGATCGCTGCCTCCAGGCAGGCCCTCTGGGAGCCCAGGAGGAGGGCGAGGAAGGGTGAGAGGCCAGGCACCTCTATGGCAAGGGAGTCCCTGCTTCCGTGATCTGCCAATCTGCCGAGAAAGCCCACAGAGAACCACTCCCCTCCCGAACAGGAGGAAGCTCTGTCCATTCAGACACTTCTCAAGAAGCCTAGGGGCCGAACTGAACCCAGCTGCTGTGCCTGGCACCAGCTTATTCTCTTACCTTCCAGGAGTGCACTGAGAGTCCACCAAAACAACTCAAGCTACAGTGGCATCTTTGCTGGCCCCAACTGGTGTTCTCTAGAAAATCTGTGACTAGACCAGTATTTCATACATGAATTCTTATTGTAAATATACTGAAGGAGAAGAGGTATTAGATGTAGGAGGACATGAAGGTACCAAGCACAAAATCTTTTTAAAAATTTAAGAACTCTACTCATTAGTAGCTAATTTATCTGCTAAGTTCCACTGAGCTTGTGAAGCCAACATGAGGAAGTCTCTTTCCAAAGCAGCCAGAACTAGAGCACAAAGGAAGTACAGTCTTACAGATAGAAGGTTTTCTCCCAAGCAGTGACCAGAGGGCAAAACTGATTGTGGTCTTGGTGTCACCGGGGTCTCTGGGCATGTCTCATTCCTCTACAGCTGGATCCTGAGCAGAGGAAGTGGAGGGAATGTAGAAATGCACTAGCTGTGATGGGAGGCCCAGGGACCCACCATCTGGCATGTGGGCATTATTTCTCATCCTCCTGATTCAACCTTATAAGCATCCTAAAAATGTGTTGGAGCCGGGCCATGAAGGAGATGGAGGGCACAAAGAATTGCACCTGCCCTGGAAAACCCATGGATTTCCACGAACTACGAAAAGAGCCACCTCGGGGGTCCATGCAAGGAGTTCTGGAAACACGCAGTAAGGAATAACAAATCCTGCTCTAGGGTTCGGAGAGGGGGTCCTGAAGATGGAAATGTGAGAGAATCACCCATCCACGTGCATTTTTTGCCCTGATGCATCTTTTTGACCTATAGCGACCACCTTTATAGACCTCGTGGTATCAAGAGGAAGGCCTTCCCCCCTGTGGGCTCTGCCGATGCGGCTCCTCTTAGCAAGGATGCCTCCACTTGGATCTGCAAAAGCTGGTAGTGGTTCTTAGTGCTGTGATGGAGATTCTGAGGCCAGCCCAGGCACAGAGGCCAGAGGAGCTGGGTCAGTGAGCTCTGTGTAGGCGAGGGACACGGTGAATGACAAGGATGAAGGTGGGCCTGACCTGAGAGGCCCAGAGAGCTGAGAAACATCTCTTCTGAGGGCACCAAAGAGAGTCCTTTTCCCTCTGGGGGCACCCAAGGAACTGAGCCTGCCCGGGTGGGAGATTCACAGCCCTGTCCGGGAGCATTTAGACAAAGGCAGCAAAGACAAAACGAGCAAAACGACAGACCCACGTCACACTACTGATATTCTCTTAGAATAACCTTTCCTCCTCAATTAAGTCAAAAGAAACCAACTACTAACTTTGATTCACTTTTTTTACAATTCCACGTAAAAACCTGTCAAAAATAAACCAAAAATCCTACACGATCAAACCACAGAAAAACCTTTAACAAAAGCTCCGTAAAGACACACACACACACACACACACACACACACACACACACACACAGGCACGAAGCTGCTCACGCAGTTCTCTTCTCCAGGACTGATTTATGCTCTGACTTGAAAAGACAAAAACGTTGTAAAATTCAATGAAGTTCACTGCTATGGGCTCCTCCCATAGGTCACCCTTGTCTTAAGTGACAAAGAAAATCACAGTGGGAGACTCCTACAAATATGACCGTGAGTCATCTCTGTGGAACGCTCTTCTTGGTAGTTACTGTCGCCACTAAGGGGCCAGCAGTTGAGAGCACGTGACCCGGGGCAGGAGTGGGGGTCAGTGGGGGGCCCCGGTTAACGTTTGACTGAGCTGGGCACAATCTCACCTCTCTGCAGGCTGCAATGTCCCATGCGGAGAGTGGTGGTGCTCCCTCCACACTCTCGAGGGCCACTTCTGCCTCTCACCGTTTAATGTTTCACGGTTCTACTACTAATCATCCTAGATCTGTAGTTATTCTTTCCAAAAGAGCAAACTTCTTCTGAACAGGCTAAGTCACTGTGGCTTTTTACCCTCTGGGGCCCTGTCCCGGGAGAAGAGCAGTGCAGTTGCTGCATGTCATTCCTAAAGCTTCTTTTTTTCCAACCATCCGATCAAAGCAGATAAATCACATGCTGCCTACGGGGTGGGGGGCATTTTGCATTTCTGGCTCCGTGCCAGCGATTAGTGAATGAAATGTACTAGTTGGTCCCTGAACATGAGAACCAAGTGGGGAGAAAGATAAGAAACAAAGGCGAACTCCCCAGACAGAAACTAAGAGAGGTTAACGGTGTGGCATGGAATCAAGGCTGCACTGATGGAGAGAAGTTTCCCTGCCCCCCCGGCAGACTCCATCCTTCGGTAGCTAAAAGTGGACGCTCGGATCAGCCAGATCCCAGTTTAACCCCACCTCTGTGGCTGAACTTCTCCAATGCTCCATTTTCTCATCGGGGGCTATTGGCAGAACTGAGTGAGATAAAATACATGGTGGGTTTTCCCCACAGTCCTGGGTCATCCTATGTGGGTCCACAGTGTCAGGCAATCGGTGAGGCTCAGACATGGTAGTTGTCACCTCAAGAAAGCTCTCCTGGAGCTCCCTGGAAGCAAAGGGACACTCCATGCTGGCCCAAACCCAGGGTCCCTTTGCTCTGACCATTCTTGCAGAGAGACACCTAGTGTGAACAGTCTTGCACACGCCTGAGTCAGCTTTGGCTGTGAAGTAGGCGGGGGGATGGATTCGTCTGCGAACAAACCATGGTTTGTATCTTTTTATCTCGGACGAGTCATTTCTGTCTGACTTTGCCTGCAGTAGAGATAGTAACTTTTCTGTCTTAATGGTTAGACACCGAGAGAGCCACGCACCCATAACAAACAACCTATTCCGGAATGACATCAAACAGAGCTGAGTGAGGGGGAAGCAGAGGAAGAGCACAGTGACTGTGCTAGAATTGGGTGACCTCATTTGGTCCCGGAAATGGACCATGATCCAGTCCCTTCACCTGAGCAGAGGACCCAGGCTCTGGTGGGGGGCCCTGGCAGCCTTTCTCTCTGCTCCAGCCTTTCCCTCCCGGTCACCGGGGAGCACTTCCGTTCCCCAAAGTACGGAGACAGCAGGCCCAGTGGGCAAAAGGAGCTTGTTTGTACATAAGCATTTCACCCTTCACTTGTACTGGGCATTCCTTATATTTAGTGATGAAAAATTGATACGAGTTTCACTTCACTTAGTCCCATTGGGACTTCATCTATGTTTTTACTATCAGGACAGGAGGATCACAGACTGTTAGAACCGGGACGGGCCTCTGAGATCACATGAAGCAGCTCTGTGATTTCACAGAGGAGAGACCTGACCAACCGGCCTCGGGACGCACAGTCCAGGTGTGACAAAGCTCTCCTGCTTCCCACCTGGCCACGCCCCCTGGGCTTGTGGTATGTGCTTAAATACACTAGGATATGTTTTGGTATCAGTATACGTTGACATGTATATTGGTATGCCCTTAAAATTATACTTAATATACTGGTACATGTTGGTATATATTGGCATATCCTTAAAATGCCACACATTAAAAGTTCCAAAAGCCAAGCAAGCCTATTCTCCATCAGTCTTGGTTTGCTGTCCCGATGACCTCAGTTAAACCCCTGAAACCTGGTATGTACCCAGACCACCTCCAGGAGACCACCCCAACAAAGAGAGAGAACAAAGGTCAAGCCACTGTGGTGACTATTGGGACTTTATGAAAATCCACGTAAGTAAGCCCACGGGAAAATTCCTGGAACACAAGCCCTTTCCCCAGCTGGCTGCCATAGCCTCATGGCTGCCCCGTGCAGGGGGAGCACTTTGTCCCCTTCAGGACAGTTTCAACAGAATGGCTGACAAGCGGCTCGGCTAGTTAGGGATGCAGGCCGAGACTCCCCCCGCCCCCCGCCCCCCGCCAAGTCCCATCATGTCATCTAGAGGCAGAAGCAAGCCAAGGGGCCATCTGCATGCAGAGCAGCTGTAAATCCTTTCCCTCACACATTCCAGGGAACTTGAGAGCTCTGTGGAGCAAGTTTGCAGTTTTTTAAAATACAACTATTTCCAGAATCTGGGGTGAAACCAGGCATTAGGACAAGCCAGCGCCTACAATGGGATGCTGACCTGCACTGCAATTTGCCTGCTGAAAACATGGGGAAGCGCAGGGCTAATGCTTTGCAAGCTCCTCCAGGCACTGGGATCTCCGAGAAGAGCTGCAGGGCAGACCCCGAGGCTTCAAATGTGGGCCGGCTGAGCAAAGGACCTGAGGGCTGCTGTCGGGGAGGAGGTGATGCCAGACAGCAGCCCAGCGGGCCCTGGACTGCAGACGAAAGCCACCCCAGCCTCCGCAGGCGGGGCCCCGCTGGGAGCGCTCTCTGCGGATGCTCTGCCACGTTTTTGCCAAGATCTGCTGCTGGGCCCGGATGCTATCACTGGCAATGCTGCACAAAAGAAATGGGGGAAACACACCATTTCTCAGGCCAGCACAACTAACTAGCATTTTCATGGACACGTGGGCCCACACACACGGTGAATGAGTCCGCGTGTGGCTGCAAGTAGGCAGCCCCCAAATTGTGTTCACTATTAACAGGCACAGCAAAATCTCCAATCCTTCCATGACAGAGGCTACTCAGCTCAAAAGACACAAGAAGGAATGTCAGAGAAGCTTGGCCTTTGTCACCGGTAACGTGGGGACAAGTCCTTTCCCTTTTCCTGGCCAATCTAGAACAGGAGCTGTTGGGTGATATCATGTGTAAGACCCATTTACAACTCTGAC